GACTGGATTAATCCATGTCTGGCATAAATGAGAATCCCTCAGATGCCTGAGGGTCTCCTGTGACAGTTTAGGGATAAAAGATTTATTTACATGCATGAAATTAGACACGATGCCCTTCTAGAAGCAAAGAGTGGGAGAGAAACAGAGACAGACACTTACTTTTAGGGTGAAGTTACTTTTAGCTTTAGCTTACTTAGTTACTTTTAGCTCGTCATCCAGGAGCTTAATTCCTGCAGCTCAAAAATCCAGCTGCCCCAAAGAGAACGGCACCAAGCTCTTCCCCTAAGAACTTATCTAATATTTAGGACACACAAAACCAGCTTCGAATATAAAACCCGGAGAGAAACCCAGCCCGCTCTCATCCAGCTCCTCCACCAAAGGCACTTGCAGAGGCTCACAATCCCCATCTGGAAAACTTTTCAAGATGCCCAGTTTGCACCCAGGCCTGACACAGCCAGCAGGTCTCAAGACACTGGTGTGGGTTTCACAAGGGAGGTTATTATTTTGCTGGGTCCCAGTTCAGCTGCTTTGTATGAGAGTCATTTCCACTGCCCTTCTGGAGTGCTATTTATACTCACAATTGAGCTCTGCCTTAAGCACTTAAGCCCTGCTGTCTAGCCAGAAAACAGGCTTCCCACCAGTGCCTCTTCCTCCCCGTACCAGTCCCTAACTCCGATAAAAGGTGCCACGCACAGAGGGCAGGTAGAAAATTTCTGCCAGAGAACAGGCAACATAAATCTAAATGTCCTTGCTTGTGGGCACTAAACCCTGCAAACTTGAGGGCCAGAGGTGCTGGTGTGTCCATCAAGAGAGCTGCAGCTGTTGGGGTGGCATCCTGAGCATGCAGGGGGAGCTTCTGCCAGAGCTAAAAACAGCAGGAGCGAAGTGCCGGCGATCCACGCGCCGCACGTGTTCTGGCCATCTCTGGCTGAGACACACCAAGGGAAAAGGCTCTGCTTGGAGACGCTTTCTCAGTAATTTAACTCCATCTCCCAAGCACCAAAGGGCAAACCCAGCTGTAGAGGCCACTGGGATGGGAGATCACGATGAATTTAATCTTCTCTGCTTTAGCGAGTAGGTTGCTCAGGGGAAGGCCAGGATAAAAGATTCCTCTCTGGAAATATCTCAGCTGTAGCTGCATAAAACTTAGACCCACATCCAGGGGGGAAACTCACATAAAATTCTGGCATATCTTGCAGAGCTGTATCGTGATGCAGCCTGCAGAGGCTTGTCAGGACCCAGCTGGGGGGCACATCAGTACACTGTCTCTATAGATATCAGGGCAAGTGCCCTACCCAGGACTGGCAAACATCCAAAAATCTTCACCACCACTCCTCAGATTGCCTATAGATAAGTCTGTATGGCCCAGACTGTCACAAGGTTTAAGTTACAGTGGAAAATATATTAGATATGTCAAAATATCTGAAATTAAACCCGAGGGAATGCAACCAGAAAGCAGCTTTAGGAGAGCTGTAAGAGCACCCAATAAAGGAGTGCCTTGAGGCAGCATCTTGTAACATCTCTATTGCAACACTGCAAGTGAACTTTAATTTGAGGCTTGCCAGTCTCCCCATTAAAACACTGCTCCTGGGATCCAGCATGTGGAGAGCAAGCAGGCACCTCTGCTAAGTTGCTTTCAGAAGTTAATACTGACAGATGACTGAGGATATCTGCCAGCAATGCCACTTCTGTGATGTAGTAACACAGCTCCAAATTGCTCGTACTCCTCTGCAGGCCTTTCCCACCACACTTGCTCAATCCCCTTGAAGTCTGCAAATATGCACCAGCACAATTTAGAAGAGTATTTGGCTAACATGGTCAGAGATAACCTGAATTTACAAGATCCCCATGATAAGCACCTAGGCTAAAACTACTGATCTGTTTAGCTCACTGAGAACATCAGATCTTAAATGGAACAACAGTGTCAGGAGAAAGGTCAAACATGTCCTGCTGTCCAAACACAGTCCTCACATAAACCTGCATTGCTGCTTGGAAGCCAGAGGAACCATATCAACACAAATTTGGGGTTGGAGCAGTGTAATATTAAAAATTAAGGCAGCCCAACAACTGCTGGTCTCAGATTTGGTTCGGTTTAATCAGTCAGACTTGGCTGAGTCTACTGGTGAGTCCAGTTTCAGACAGGTTTGACTAAGTGCAACCAGCCCAACCTGGCTGATTCTACCCGTGTTTACCACCCACGTGGAGACCTCAGTGTGGGAAGACAGGAGAGGAGGCTTGGGGAGCTCCCAGCACACACTCACAGCCCCTGCCCCGCCTCGGGAGCCCAGGCAGGCTGTGACATCTCCTGGCAATGACAGCTCTGCATGACTGAGACCTCCCAGAGTCTCTCCTCTGCTCACAAATTATTATGTCTCGCTCGCAGTCGTGTTCCCTGCACTTCCCTGGGGAGAGAAGAGCCCTGGCTGTTACCTGCCCTGCCACAGGTGGGTGTCCTGGCACCCCTGCCCGCTCAGAGTCCTCTCTGCAGGAACTCACCCCAGCCAGCTCTGGCTGCCACAGGTAACCCTTCCTTGGGAAACACCTGCTGGGGCCTGACAGCCCTCCTGGAGCTCCTCTCTCTCCTGAAATCCACAGCACTGCCAAGCCCTCTCCCTGTCCCCAGCTCACTGTGAACACCAGCATATGCCCAGCTTCTTCATGTAAAACTGGGAAGATGTGCTGGATTTTCTCAAGGAGTGAGAAGTTTATGCCTGAACTCTGAATCCAACAGTTAGAATTAATTCAGTTTTTACTGTCCAAACTACCCCAGACACCAACTCAACAGTGAAGATACTGATTTCTCCACAGGGCAGCTTCATTCATGTTCACACCAAGATTATTTGTTACTTCCATTCTCATACAGGAATCTCTCTGGGAAAAAAAAAAATTAAAAAAATTAAAAATTCACTACTCATCTGCCTCAGAGTTTGATGTGGTATAAATTGAAATGTCACTTCAGAAGCCCCTGTCAAAGCACTTCAGGAAGAAGGGCCCCAGCATTTGTGGCCTTTGCAGCAGCCGGTTTTCCATTTTGGGAAGGGTTTAAGATGGCTGGAATAGCCAGTCTCTTCCCACCACCCCTGCATTCAAGCCAGCGTCAAAAGTTCATCTGATAATTATGCCATCAAGAGGCGAATAATAGCTTAAATTCCTTGGGCTGGATTTTCTAGCAAGGGGGTCCAAGTAAAAGCCATTGATTTGTGGCAGAGTTGCTTGTCCAGAGGAGGAGGAGAGCATCCCTACACCTTATTCCCTACACCCACCCTTGAGCACTGATGGCCTCGATACAATTTGCAGTGACACAAAAAAAAAATGCTAAAACCAGGAGAGATGCTTTAACCAAGAGTAATTTATACCCTTTCACACAGCTTCTGGGACACAGCATGGATGAAGCAGGAAGGTAACTGGAAAAGTTTAGGAGCTTGCTTGCAGGAAACCAAACTGCAAGTCATATTTTGAAACTGGGGGTCTGGGGAAGACCTCCAGAAGCCCACAAAACTCAGGGTACCTTACACTGCTGGGCAGGGTTCTGCAGACCAGCCAGATTATCTTCACGGTCACAAAACTGATGAAGGCTGACAAAGCCAGGCCTGAATGGTCCAACCCCACTGCTGAAGTGGCAGATGAGAACCAGTTTGTAGGCACTTCCAGAGCAGTAGGCAGCTTTGTTTGGGAATCTGCCTCCTACCCTTTATGCGTCCACATAGAGAAATTCCTCCAAGTGAGCTGTTTGGGAGCACAGGGATCTCCACCTACGCTTGCTGCAGTAACACTGGGCAGGGACACAACCCTCCACTTCAGAAATGCCCTCACTTCTGCTCCTCCCCTACACAGCACCTCACTGAACAATGCACCTGGCTTGAAATTCAAGTGTTTAATGGCACTGTACCATCAACAGGACATCACTTCAGCTCCCATCAGCTTTACACAGCTCTCCACCAAGTCTGGGGGATGCTAACACGAAACTGTTCAAGCCAGCCAGGCAAATGCTGGCTCCACCAAACCCCAACTATCTCCCTGCATTCCTCAGCATTTGGGGAGAAGCTCAGGTTTTCTTTATACCCCAAGTGAAAAGGAAATTCTTTACATTCCAGATCTGTATAAGAGAGCCCTGTTTCTAATGAAGTTTTTCTACCCTTCCCTTTCAACGTAGAGAGCCACAATCGACCTGAGCTGGCGTCTTTCCAGCACTCAGGACTATTAGCATTTCAAATTATAAGCAGCTACGGATCTGGCCACTGTTGTATCTCACAACACTGGACCTGTTTTGTTCCAGCTAATGGTGCCACTCTGTTGACTTTCAAACTGGCTGGAGGGAATAAATTGCTGCAGTTTATTCCCATACAGCTGACATTCCCGCCATGCCATCACTCACAAGCAGGGATCTGAACATTAGAAATGTAACCCACCACCCCAGACAGCCTTCAGACCTCGGAGGGGAGCTGGTGGAGAGGAGACTTGCAGCTTCAAGACTCAGCACTGACTCAAGCTGCTGGCAGCCCCAGAACCAAACTGATGGCTTACAGAGGTGAGTAACACTTTAATTTCTAGCACACTAATCATGTTCTCAGGATGCTTGAGGGCTTTTCAGGGGTGGGGAGAGGAGGGAGGGATATGATTTTCGATTTCAGATAGCAGCATTCCCCTGGCTGGCACACTGAGCCCTGCTCTTACCCGTGGGCTCATCAAGGGTGGTCATTAGAGAGTCCTGGCAAGCCAGGAGCTCCAACCCCACAGCATGCTTGGCTCAGTCCTCCTGCCTGCATGAGCAGCTCTTACCCTTGCACCCAGGAAGATTGTGGTTCCCAAAGCAAGAGAGGACTCCACTGCCAACCAGAGCATCCCAGTTCCACAGCACAGGCACAAGGGGTGAAGCCATGATGAGCTCTGCACCCCTGAACATCTCAGTTCATGAGGTACTTTGCAAGCAGCTAATCCATCACAGCTTCATTTAGGGTCCCAGGTTGAGAGAAGAGGCAAACAGTCCACAAGGCACTCACCTGCAATGTGGGCTTGGTTGTGCAGCAGAGCACCCACAGAGCTGGGCTCCACAGCCTCTTCCTAAACATGTCTCACTGGTGGGCTAAAGAGAAAAAAAATAGAGTTGCTACAGGGAAGAAAGTGGCCAGAAAATAAAATGCAACTTCTCAGTGAGAGCCTCTTCACAGCACTGGGAACTGTAGGCAATGGAGGTAACCAGAACCACGAGAGTGGGATTTGGATTTAGTGTTTCCCCCTGCTCCACCTTTCAGCAGCACAGGCTGCACTGATTCTCCCACAGCACAGCATTTGCAGCCACAAAAGTTCACTGTCCAGCAAACTAACTCACATTGTGCCTCCAAAATACATCACCTGGCTATTCCTCTGAGCAGCCAAGGAGGAAGAACAGCCCATCTGTGCCCCTGCAACAGGGCAGCAGCAAAGGGTAACCTCAGGTGATGGGCAGAGCTGGGCAGTGCCCTCCTCTCCTATCCCAGCAGGGCAAGACCCAGAGCCCAGGCCCTCTTGAAAGGAACATTATTCCCTCTGTTACCTGGATAACAACTCTTCCTTTTTGTATTTTGTCTTTCAGTTGTATTAATTAGTAGATTTTGCTTTGTCCATAACACTGTTATCTCCTAGAGAAATTCTTCACCGTTGTTGCAAAAGGCAGGAAAAAAATTCAGTGATGTGTGTTCACTGCCTGAGAGCTACTTTGTCCATTTACCACAAATACTATTGTATTTACCACAAATACTATTGAACTGCAACTCACCTCTGCCTGTGTTGCTGATTTAACCTATAACATTTTAAATGCACTTACTGACCAGCTCTCTAAGCAGTTGAAAACTTTTTTTTTTTTTTTGGCAGGGAGGGCAGTCAGAGACAAAAGCCCTGGCTCTCCTGTGCCTCTCACTTCACACATGCCTCCCTATCACCATTTCCTGATTTCCAAAGGCTACAGAGGGCAGGGGACAGCCCCTCACTGAATGTCAGGGCTGCTGCAGGCTCCAGTTGCAGCCCAGGCTGGAGTTCACAGCCACCAGGACACAGCCACATTTGTGACATGTTTCCAGAGCAGCTGGGTACACACTAGATCAGGCATTTTTGGTTTTGTGAGACTTTCCAATAATTAAGCAGTATCAGTTACCTACAGGACACTTGAGCTAGAGTTTGGTGCACGTGCTAGCCTTCCACTCTCTAGCAGACAGAAAATTCAAACCCTGCTGTATTTTTCAGGTTTTTCTACCTAGAAAATTTGTGCTTCAGCTGCCTAAAAGATGGCAATCTGAGCACCCACTGAGACCACTAAATGTGCTCTTGGGTAATTAGCATGATGTCTGTCACATCAAGACACTACCAGTAGTTAAGGCTCAGACCACTGCTGGCTTTCACTAGATAAACTTTTCACTGTAGAAAGCCTTTTCATGAGAGGGGAGCAGAGAGAACACGACCAGAAACCCTTTTCCCCAGCTGTAGACAGAAACAGGTACCTATTGGCACGTAATGGATTACAGGGTGAAAAAAATAAATAAGTCATACCTCACTTTTCTAAGGAAATGGCATTAAAATCTAAGAGTTTGGGCACTGCACATCTACAGTTACAAAGCTACAGCTCTGATTTATACTGAGTCAAGTGCAAGCTAAAGCCAGGCCTTTGGGTGGAAATGAACATATTTGCTTTAGCACTTGGGTTGCTGGGCAGGCCCCCAGTTTTGTGTGACACCAGCTGCTTCCATATCAAATGCTGTCCAGGCAGTTAAAATTAGACTGGTCCTATTTCTGGCAGGGTTTGGGCTGCACAGCCACTGCCCCCCTGTGTGTGGGCTCCTGGCAGTGGGCAGGTCACTGCCCGGCATCAGCCAGGCACATGGGACTTCGTGGGAGCCCAAATGCCACAGATATTCGTTTAAACCAACCTTTTCCCCTCCCTGGACACGGGGTATGGCACATGTCACTGTCACAGAGCTTGAACAGTCCTGTCTTGATGCTTCCTGGAGACAGACAATAACCACCAGAGCAGGGGTGCATTTATTCCTCATTCAAGAAACATCTGTGCGAGTGATTTCATTTTATGCAACGCTTTCTGCCAGCCCAATTTTCTATGAAATGGCTTGGGGTTTGTAAAATTATTTCCCTATAAAAAGCCTCCTTTGACTGTACAGTGACAGATTAATTTAGGCAACTTGAACAATGATGGTTTGGGGAATTGGAACTTTTAACTGCTTCACAGTCTACACCTTAGTTCTACAGACATGCCTCTGAAGTGCTTAGCTATATTATAATTATTTGCACTTCTTAAATGCATGATTAAAATGCATGATTTCTGTGTAAAAGCTCCAAGGTTGGAATAGTTTTCTCCATCATATTTTACAGTGCAACAGGTAGGTCCCTGCTTTGAGCTTCATGGTGACACAGCAACACATGCAGTGGGCTGACAGTGCTCTGACCACTGCTCTTCTTCCAGACTTAGTTACGTGCTGCACTCTGGCTCCCAGCACTTTTGGATAATTACACAAGCTGCTGATGAATCAGAGCTCTTGGTGTAGACTCAAATTCTCTTTTAGATGCTAAAGCTGCCCCAGCTTCTCTGGTGAAGAGATCAGAGACACTGAGAACAAGTATTTAAGAGACCCCAGCTCTGCCCCAGTGCATAGCAACCCTCCAGCCTCTGCAAGACCCACACAAGGCCAAAATGACTGAAAATGCCTTCCTTGTGCTGGCATCACTTCCAGCTGCACCCCCTGCTCCCTCACTGCCACCCTCCCACACAGCACTAACAACCTGCTCTAGCACCATTTTAAAGTCACTTGAGATAACTCTGCTGCTCAAGGGGCAGCAGAGGGAAGAGCTTTGCCTCAAAGTGGGCAGGAGGTGGCCAAAGACCCCATCCTTTGGATGTGCACCTCCCCACTCCCGGGCTGACACCCTACAGCACTGGGGGGTGGCCCAGACAGACACTTCTCCATCAAGAAGCCACTGAGCTAAAAACATCTCCTGGCTTGTCAGGGAAACTGGAGACAAGAGAGATTCAAACAGCACTCCCCACAGCAAACAGACTGCAGGGGGACCCCGGGCTCTTGTTTAATTGTGCACATTCAGATCTCACTCACTGACTTTGCCCCACCGTGGCAGTGCTGGCACTGCCCATTTTGGGTGATGGTGAGCAGTGCTGGTCAGAACAGGACAGGACTTTGAGGTCAGAATTCACTGCAGGCACAGATGTGAGGGGTTGGGTAACCTGGAGGATTACAGGTTGGGTAACAGGCTGGAAGAAGCTCCCGTGGTGCACGACAGCCACTCACCCGTGTTTTCCCTGCAGCCTCTGCACTGGGCACAACAGCATGGGCAGCTCAGGGGCCTCAGGTGCAGTGGGACAAGAGGGCAGGCAGGCTTGGGAGCTTTGGTTCATCTCTGGGTCCACCAGCTTTGATGACATCAGGTTTATATGGCAGAAGCATCAGACCACCAGTCAGTAATCACCTGTGTGACAGGAGATGTCAGAAGCTCCAGTAGGCACATGCTGCTTTTCACAGAGAAAAATATTATATTACATATATTTTGCTTCAGAGAAAAATATTATACAGGCTCTGCAAAAGCTACCCCAGATTCCTATTTGCTTCTGAGTGCAACTTGGCTATGGCTGTCAGTCTAGAGAAATCCTATTTAAACATGTTCCTACCTAAGGATGTAATTTCTCTTTGTTCCTATTCAAATCAATTTAAATCAGATAAGTAAAATCGTGAGGGTTTGGGACAGAAAAATCTCTTTTTCCATTTTGGTAATTACTGGCACAGTAAAGACATCCCGTGCCATGTTGGATGCTGTCACAGCTGCGGTTCCTACAGTGCTGTTCACAGGAGTTCCTTCTCCCTGGAGGAGGGACACGGCAGCAGATGAGGTCTGTGGCCAGCAGAGATCAGAACACGTTCTGTGGGAAGAGCAAACATGAGACAGCAAGTCATCCTCGGGGCTCCAGATAGCAAAGCCGTGAGTCACACACAGCCACATGCGCTGGCCACACAGCCCCGGTCTCCTCCTAAGCCTGCTGGAATGACAGCCGCCCCCTCGGAAGGTGTGCCCCGCATGCAGCGAGGGGCTGCCCGGGCTGCTCACTCTCCTCCTTGGCCCTGTGAACTTAGTTCTGCTCGGGACACACAGCAGGGTCACCACTGAATCATGGTGCAGGGTCACCACTGGATCATGGTGCAGGGTCACCACTGGATCATGGTGCATGGTCACTCACCCTCTGGCTGAACAGGGCACTGGCATATTTTCTACCTTAAAAAAAAGCCCCTGTATTTTCATGTTACAGTTGGGTCTCTGCTCTGTTACTCACTGCAGGTATCCACGGGGGAATGGGGAAAGCATCCTCCAGCAGCAGGCAGTGAAAGGGAGAGCTGGAATTTGATTCATCCCCCTGCTCACACACAGCCTGGGTTGTACAGGCTGGAGGAGGAACTGATGGCTCAGATGGCTCACGGATTTGTACCTGACCAGTGCAGCCCAGCATTGCCTCAGTGCACCTGCTCAGCATTAACACAGGGTTCCTAGGAAGCAGTGATCCATCAGACAGTGAGCCTGTGGATGTTTCCGCTCAGCTTTTGGGAAAGAATCTAGTCTAGCTTTGTTCCAGCATCCTGACTGCAGAAATAGCATTTCCAGCTTCTGGCAATAAAATTCTTTCCGCAGCACTGAATCCTTGTCCTTGGGGTTCACACAAAGGACCCCCAACCTCCACCAACCACGGCCACTGGGTGTGCCTGTGCAGGGTGAATGCCAAAGGTACACACAGCACAGGCAGCAGAGAGCAGACAGGTGGCACAGGATGCCCAGGGACTCCTCCAAATACTATTGCCTTTACTCTCACCTGCACACACTCTTCAGGTTACACCTGTGGGCACCAGAGTCTTCATGTTCTACATGCCCCAGGACTTGCAGTGCTCACGTGTCAGGCAGCCTGGCCTCAAAATCCTACTACATCTCTGTAATGCTCTGGCATGCAAAGAAGTGGGGCAGGGTTGGGGATTTTTTTATAGGGAAGAAAGAAAGCAAATGACCAGGATTTCTGTTTGACACGAATCTACTTACTTTAACAAGTATGGAGGCTCATGGTTTCAAGTGGAAGCTTAGCATCTCTTAAAATAAGCCCTAGGTGTCTTTTAATGTCGGTGCTTAAAAGGGGATTTAGTCACTGGGTTCTAGGAACTCCAGTTTGACTTAAGTGTCCAATATCTGTCGGCAGTTCAGCTGTTATCCAAGTAAGGGGAGGGAAAGCCAGGATTTTCCGGCCCTGAGAAACAGCTGTAGTCAGAAGAGGCATGTAATGTGAGGGATAAAATTAATTCCCTCTCAACCCTGAAGTGTGAGCCGTTCCCAGCCGCTGGATGAAGGGCCTGTCTGTCCCAGCCTGTCCCACAGGGCTGCTGGGGCTGCTGCAGTGCCTCTCACTAGGCGGCCCCCGAGCCTCACCAGGGAGCTCTGCTCCCCTCCCAGGGCACCTTCCAGGCAACCAAAAGATGATTTGAAGGGAGAGATATTGCAGCCCCATCTCTTCACTCTGCACTTGGAGAGACATGTGCCCGTGAGCAGAACCCCCCCCCCGAAGGATGTGCACCCCTTCAGGCTGCCCATGGGCACCAAAATCCCACAGGCTTCACAGCCACGTGAGCCATACACTGGGGGTGTTTGCAAAACATCCCATCTCATCAGAGATGTGCCTTAATTAATTCCAAAATTAAGTTTTTACTGTGTTCTCTCCTATATTAAGGCTACCACTGCCCAAACGCCATTACACTCTCAGTGGGGATGTTCTTTTCTTTTCCTCTGTAAAATGGACAAACTCATCTTAAATTTAGCAAAGACTTTGAAGCATGGAGCACAGCACACACATTTCAGCAGCCATGCTGTTCTCCAGGGAGCCTGTCCTTGAAAGCCAGCTCACCTTCTCCCCCCCCTTCCCCAATACATATGAAAATGCCCACAGGAGTGCTGGACACAATTTTTGAGATGTAAATCTCTGACCTGCTTGATGGGAGGCATTAAAAACTGAATTCCCAGAAAAAGAGCCTCTGAAATAGTGCTCCCTGGTGCTACATGTTCTGGAAATACGCTACCAAAAAATGGTCTTTCAAACATACTCAGTGTTCAGCTGCATTTCTGCAATTTAGAAAGACTCTCAGCAAGCTTCACATCCGACCAGGATTCTGCAGTTTCTCTGAATACCTTGTCAATGGCTACAATAACCTCCTGCAGCTATTTGATTATTTTCAGAATATCCCAGCTGAGGCAAACCTGCCCCACTCCCCACCTGAAGAGCAGTCATTTTAAGAAATCGTTCCACAAACCACAAATTTCCCTGAAACCCAACTGGCCTTCTCAGGATCCTTGGAGCGTAGGAAGAGAAACAAACAAAATCACTCCTTTCTCACTTCCTACAGAAGTCTCGTTATTCACACCCCAGGAGCAACAGAGAAGCCACGTTCTAATCACATATTCACACCACCAAGTAACTCACAACTAGAAAGCTCACTGCTGAAGGGGTGACAATTTCCCTGTTTAGCCATATGGCACAGAAGGAATACAGCTCCAGACAGAGCTTTCTCCAGCCCACTGCCTTTGGGAAAGCCTCATTCCTACCAGACCTGTGTTCACATAACTGTTAAGTCCTATAGTGCCATAAGATATCCAAGTGTCTAGCACAGGCTCCCAAAGCTTGAACACCTCTATGAGAATGAGCAGCACCATCAGGTATGTGCAGATGGCTTGCAAAAGGGATCACTTTCAAACTGACTGAAGGTTGTTATCCTATATATCTACTCAAGCCTGTTTTCTAAGTAAAAGACATGCTGGTACATTAGTGTGATGATGCAGTCTAGCTCTGCCTCACTTCTAAGTGTGAATTTTTAAATGTTCTCCTCCCCCCTACACACTCTCTTTGCAATGCAGTGTATTTCAGATCCAGCAGATGCTCGTCTTGTTCCTAAAAGAGATTTAATGTGTTTTCCATGATCTAAACACCTGGCAAAAGGGCTCCATAAAGCTTTAATACCTTCCTAACCCTGTGTTAAATTTGTCCCAGTGTTGCATATAGCATAATTCTGCAGCCATGTCAACTATTCAGGTAATTCCAGAATGTCGTCACTATGGTTTGTGTCAGCAGCGTGATCTGTATGTACCTTGTAATCATTCTGGTGTTGGGTTGCAAAGGTCCTCGGGCTCTTCATTTGGCTGAGTCTAATTCCGTCCACTTCACAAAGATCTAGAGTTACACTAAGTAAAGGTTGACATTTACATGAGACACTGGGACTGCTGGAATGACTCACCAAGGTAAAACCTGGGCTAGATATTCTTTCAAGGGCATAAATTGTATGGTGACGACTTTTCACAGCTTCATAAAATCACAGGATGGTTTGGGTTGGAA